AGCATTTAGCCGCAAATCTCATTCCACTCCCCAAGGTTCTTAGAGTCCCAGTCTACATGTAATAAAACACATAAGTTGTTTCCCCATAGGTCATTAGAGACTGGTTGATTTTACTTGGCTGTAATACTTAGGGATGATACTCCCCTTGCCCCCGAACCACTCATCATTGGACTTTTGGACTCACCTGCCTGATGAGGCTTCTTTCTCTTGCAGAGACTCTCATCAGAGTGTAGAACCCCAACATCACCACTGTCACCATAGCTACCAATGGACCAGGAGCCCAACCCATCACGTACTGCCTGAATGTCTCTATTCTTTTTATAGGAGTTGTAATGCTTTTCAGCATTCCCAGGTGGACTAGAGTGACATGATACCGATTCATCCTGGACTCTGCTTCACCCCCTTCAAGTCTGGTGGGAAGCAGCATCTGATGCCCTAGAAGGAAGAGGTAGATTGCTGACCCAACCCATTCCAGATTTTTCCTGCCCTCTTCAAGCCAGTGTGCTGGAGGCATCTGGGAACCCTGTGAGGAGAGATGAAGCTGGAATCACAAAGGATGATATTCTTAATTTAAGCAATATGAATATGCAATTGCCTCTAGTTTCCTGCAGTTTATATAATTTTATTTTATTTTTGAACTACATTTCTTTATTCAGATATAAAGAAAAAGGAAATAGTAAAATTTCCAGGTAAATGGTTGTAGCTGGAAAGGATTGTATTGCTGAAGGCAACCTATAAAGTTGTATGCTTAATTTGGAGTAGTTGATTCTGAGAAATTAGAAAGGACTCTTTTTGAGTAAGGAAGGGAAGAAAAGATCCTCAGAGGGTTGAGGAGAGAGAGGGTTGTGGAAGAAAAACTAACATTAAAGATGTTGTAAACAGAGTGGGGGGGGACAAAATACAGAAGGAAATACAGAGACCAAGTGTCCAAAAGAGACTGAAGGAAAGGCCATTCAGAAACTGCTCCACCTGGGGATTCATTCCATACACTGTCACTAAACACAGACATGATTGTGAATGCCAAGAAGTTCTTTCTGACAGGAGCCTAATATAGCTCCCTCCTGAGAGACTCTACCAGAGCCTGACAAATACAAAGGCAGATGCTTGCAGCATTGGACTGAGCATGGTGTCCCCAATCAAGGAGTTAGAGAAAGGACTGAAGGAGCTGCAAGGATTTGGAACCCCACAGGAAGAACAACAATATCAATCTACCAGATCCCCCAGAGCTCCCAAGGTATAAACCACCAATCAAAGGATACACATGGAGCAACATATGGCTCTAAATACATATGAAGCAGAGGATGGCTTTGTCGGCCATCAATGGGAGGAGAGGCCCTTGGTCCTGTGAAGGCTGGATGTCCTAGTGCAGGGGGATGTTGGACTGTAGAAATCCTGGGGTGTTTAGCTATGCCCCCAGACTCCAGAGTCCTATCAAGTAGTCTCCATTTAACCTGCATGTTAGGTCACCTATCTGCCTCAAGATTTACATATTAATGAATTACCTAAAGGCTGGGGTGTAGATATCTAAATTTTCATCTCCCTAGCTGCTCCTTTTTCCCTGCTCCCCAATATAATGGAGCCCCTCCTGGCATTTTGTGGGAGAGCATGCCATCCAGACATAACTAACATGACAGTAAAATTTCTATATCTTCGATTCCCCGTGTCTCCTGGAACTCTGGACTCTCTTTGTGTAAGTGGGAAACTAGCAGCAGGGAAGACCCTCCCTGCTGCAGCCGCCCCTGGGGCTCTCTCCCCTGCAGTAGCAATCTGGACACATGCCCTCACAGGCTGGCATCGTCCCGGCTGCGGGGACTCCCTTCCCTGCCACCAGGCACCTCCCTGCTCCTAGGACCCTGCTGTCACTGCCAGCAGTCTGTGCTGCCGAGTCAGCAGCATTGGCGAGATCGAACCATCAGCTGGGACCACCACTGTAGTTCCCAGGAGGCCTGAGCCGCGGCTCTGAGGACCTTCGACTGAGCTGCGGTTCCAGGGACTGCATCAGCCAGGGATGTGGGCACACTCTGACCCACCCCATACCACAGGGTGGATAAGAGAGTGGGTAGGTGGGGAAGCACTCTCATAGAACCAGGATGAAGGAGAATGGGAGAGGGAAGTTCCAGAGGGGAAACCAGGAAAGGGGAAAACATTTGAAATGTAAATAAAGAAAATATCCAATGAAAGAAAAGAAAAAAAGATGTTGTAAACAGCCATAAATAATTCATTTGATAATTTTCATATATATTGATATTAATAGTATAACATTGTTTAAATAGACTTAGACTGCATAGGGCATAATACTCAAGAAAAAAGCTTTAGGTAGCCAAGTAAAAAGCCCTGTGCCAGGATTGTATTCTATTTCTTCAAGATGTTGATCAGAAGTATACTAAAGATATCTAAAACAGTACATGTGATTATCATAGCTCTTGATTGCTGTGGTAGTTTGGATAAGAATATATCCAGAAATTAAATTAATTGAAAACTTGGTGTCTTAGAGTTTTACTGCTTTGAACAGACACCTTGACCAAGACAAGTCTTATGAAGGACAACGTTTAATTGGAGATAGCTTACAGGTTCAGAGGTTCAGTCTATTATCATCAGGGAGTATGGCAGCATCTAGGCAGACATGGTTCTGGCAGAGATTAGAGCTTTACATCTTCATCTGAAGGCTGCCAGTGGAAGACTGACTTCCAGGAAGCAAGGATAAAAGTCATTATCCCAGGTCTGCAGTGATGCATCTTGTCCAACAAGGTCATACCTCCTAATAGTGACACTTTGTGGGCCAAGTGTATGGAAACCATCACATTCCACTCTCTGTCCTCTATAGGCTTGTTCAAACACATGAGTCTATGGGGCCAAATCCAGCCACAGCATAATAAAAAGTACATTTAGTGCAACTTACAAAGTCTGCATACTCTATAGCAATTTCAACAATGTTAAATGTCCATAGTTCAAAGTCTCTTCTGGGATCCATTCAACTTAACTGTAGTCCCCAAATCAAGACAAGAAGTCTACTGGGAAATCTCCATTCTCTGTATCTTCACATCTGATGTCAAAGCAGTCTTCAGATCTTCAACTTCTTTTTTTGTCCTGGTTGACTGCAACAAACTTTCTTTATTGGGCTGGTTCCACTCCCTGTTAACAGCTTTCCATCATCAGATATACTTTGGCTATGGCATCTCAAAAATCTTGGAGTCTCCAAGGCAACTTCAATGTTATAGCTTCTTGATTCAATGTCTGGAATCCATGGTCTTCTGTGCTTCTCCAAGGGGCTGGCATCACTTCTCCAGCTCTGCCCTCTGTAAGCCCAGGTTGTTCCACTTTACTGACACTGCTGTTCTTGGTAGTCATCCCATGGTCCTGATATCTGGCATATACTGGGGTCTTCTGCTGCAACTAGGCTTCACCAATAGCCTCTCATAGTCTCTCTTCATAGGACAAAGCCTAAAATCATTTGCATGACCTCTTTATTCTTAGGTAGTAAAAACAACTGAGGCTTCACTTTCAACAGTGGCCTTCCCTTGCCTCTCATGGTGCCAACCCTCTGCTGTTGTTCATGACCCTTTCCTGCCTTCAAACGTATACCACCTGGTAACTCTTACGTATTACCAAGTAAAGCTGCAGCACAAGGTATAACCTTGGACATCTCTGGAACATACCTTTTTTTTTTCTCTCAGAAAACACTTCCCAGAAGATTTTACCTCAGGGATGCTGGTCTCTTCTTAATCACTATTAATTTATTAGCTCCAGCTAACCAGCATCAATTGTACCAGTAGTCCTTCTATTTTCACTCTAAACCCAGAGCCTCATGGCCAAAGCTGCCAAGTTCTGCTGTTTGCAGGCTGGAACATGCCCCCTTGCTCTATTCCATTATCACTAGGGAGTTTTCACTGCCTAAGCTTGGCTGTCCTTGATCTTGCTCTGAAGATTGACCTTAAACTCACATATTTACATGCTTGTCTCCTGTGATTAAGCATATGTACTACCATACCTGGATCTAAACTTTGCAGAGTAGGATCTTTCCCCAATGTCTCTTTTCTCCTAGAACAGAGGATTCAGTTCCATTTCATTTCCTGGTGCACCTTTAATACTTGAACCATATACTTTATAGTGTTCCTTTCTAAGCTTGTTAGGCTAGTTCAAAATGCTCTTTATGAGACTTAACCAGAGGACAATGTCTCTGCTGTGCTTTTTTGAAACTTCCTTTGTCTAACAATTAATATAAGTCTCTTTACCTTAGCCTCAGGTAGACTCTTCAGAAAAGGGTAAAAAGCAGTGGTATTCTTCACCAAAACACCCAAATCACAGTCTCTGTGCCACATGCTGAAATTAACATGGAATCACAACTGTTTCCCAAGCCTTGCATGGCAATATGTTATCAATAAGCTATCTTTAAAGTAAAAGTCAGAAAAAAATTATTCAATCTGGGCACATTGGGAAGTGGGACAATACATCCAGAGAACTGAGACTTGAAGAAATGAACATTGAAGTGATCCTGGTCAAAGTGTAGTCCTACCCACCACTGACCAAAACTTAGTGCATTTTCCTCATCCAGTAAGGCATTTTATGAAATATCATCCCTGCATAGAAGTTGCTGCCTCTTCTCCAGCATGAACTCTCATGGAATGTTCCATTTCCTAGGGGTTCATTTTTCATTAGCTGAAATTCAGAGGAAAACATTATCTCTTAAGAATATACTTTGCCATGCTGGATTCATTATGTCAAACCCAAAACAAGGATCTTTCCAGGTAGCTTTGTTTCCTGATGCAAGGGTGTTTTGTTCAGGGCTATAACACTGTGGGAGGAAATTCTAGCAGTTGCAAACAGTAATAAACACCCACATTTTCAGACTCCACTCTAGTGATTCTCAGAGTGAAATCTGTTCCTGACTCACTGCTACTGAACCTGTCTGGCACTCCTAAGGCAAGGTTAGACATCGGATATATGAGTTGCTGAGGAGACTGGCCTGGCCTCTGCAGGTACCAATACAAATAAGTGATGCCATTACTGTGTAGGAGACTCTTATTAGAACTGCACGAGATGGAAACTGACTCTCCAAGAGTGATAGGATTGGAGACTGCAGCCTGGGTCATCACAATTTCCCCAGTGGCTCCTGCAATAAGAGAAATAAATGGTTATGTGCAAACAAATGATACAACGAAGTGACTTTCCTTCCTTTATTTTGTCTACTCACTGTGTTCATGACTTTCCTTCATACTCTAAAAGTGCTCCACATAAAATATGTATGAAGAGGGAACAAAGAGGGTCTCCAAAATCACCTGGCCTTTTGGCTTTGGAACTTGTCAGAGTTGCAACAGAAACATGGGGTTTTGTCTCTTCACCATTTCATCCTTACAAGCCCTTTAGTGGAAAACAGAACTGTATATCTCACACATGTACACAACCTGCATATTCATTATCAGATCATCAGAAAACCCCATCCCACCACATTCTACTTCTTCATCTTTGTCTCCTTACCAGGGATCCAAAGCACAAGCAGCCCCAGAAGCTGAGCAGGGCATTTCATTCTGGGAACTTGATAGGAAGAGTCAACAGTAGTCAAACAGACAGAGGAGTTAGCTTTTACCCTGGACTTGAAAGAAGAGGAACTCCTTAGGGAGCAAAATGCAAATCTCATGGTTGGTACAGCTGTGTGAAAAGTACCTAGAGAGTGAAAAACCCCACTCTCAATAGTCACTTGACAAAGTGTCTGCCCTGTTTGTAGAAAAATAAATTCAGTCCTCACTACCAATATTACAGGCAGCTGAATTGCACTGTGAAAACTGGAATCTCTGTTAATGGAGACATACAGGGTCTAAAGAGAAAGCATCACAATGTGGTCCCACAGAACGAAGGTAATCTTTTCAATAACCTTTGTATTTGTTCATATTTTTCACCATAGCATCTTCCTATATAAACATATCTAGTTTTGTTAGTTTGTTTGTTGTAGTTTTGTCAAAGTTGGGTGCCTAGTAAAGAAAACTGAAGAGACATGACAAATAACTCTCTTACTAGACTTTTTAATGACCATTTACCACAAGAATGTTACACATTAAAGATTGGACAGGACACTCTTGATTTGGAAGCTGACTGCAAAAGGCAGAACATAGTCTTAGAATCTCCTTCTGTGCACATTGTTGACCAAAGCAACTCCGCACATCTCCAATTAGAATCGTGCCACTGATGGTAAACAAAATGAGTGTCCCCCCAAAAAATCTAGTAGGAAACAGTTGTAAATTCAATTTACAGTTTATTTAATTGACTTTTAAGTCAGTTAGAGGCATGTGTCAACCCCTCTGATTTCTCTGCCTCGTGTGGCATGTGGGTAGCAGGCTGCTTTCATTCCTTAGCTTCACTGGAATGTTGGGACTTCACTGTGCTGTGAAGTTTTCAAAAGCTGGGGGACTGAATGCTCTGCTACCTCAAGACTTCATTTTCTCACCTCCTCTCTTGCATGGTCTCGTGGTACCAGGGACAAGATTTTATGTTTTAACTCCAGAGTCAGCATGGCTGTGGCGAAACTGCTGAAGCAAGAGCTAGAATCTTGATGTAATGAGACTTTACAAGGAATTCCAGAAGGAAGCAGTCAGAGTCTGGAACTCAAAGGATAGCATTTTCTACCTACTTATTAATTTCAACAGCTTCCAAGTTCTATTTACAGTTATGGAAAAATTTTTCCCAAAATTTTTGAACTCTTTTTCTGTAAATATTTCTTACAATGAATGTGGGAATTACCTTATTTTGTGTTGTCATCAGCAAACATGCAATTTTGTTTGTCACTTTTCTCCTCCCTGGAGGCTACTGTAGCAGTTGCCACTACACTGTAACACTTTAAATTCCCTATCTGTATTTCTTTGTGAGATGAAGGTAATTGTGCTGCTTACTGTCCAGGCACAACCTCTTCATACCTTCAGAGAGAGATTTGTGTTGTCATGCAAGTTCTGGTTCCATGTGTCATTGCTATGTTGTTGGGTTGGTTTTATTTTACTAGGCAAAATGTAAAGATTCTGTGCTGTGAGGACTTCATTCTCACCAGTTTTGGCATCACTAACAATAAACTTTGTTTGATTTACCCATTGACACCCACAGGTTCCTTATCAGTTTTGGAATCTGTAATGTTCTAGGCTGCAGACATTTACTATGTAAACATCAAGGAGCTGATGTCAGTAGTTACCAACAGCAGCACCTCTAGCTGCCTTGGGAAGTTAAGTTAAGTTTAAGTTAAGTTTCAGGCTTAGCTGGCCATAAATTCAGGCTTGTGTACAGAGAAATTTCAGAGAATGAATGCCCTGTCTAAATATCTGTTCACCATCTGATATAAAATGAGCTTGGGGCAAGCATGAGTTGACCTAGCATAGCTTAGGGAATGTGTGATACGTAATTAAGCCAATACAGTCCCTTACAAGAGGCTGCTTCCCACTGCTCAAATTGATGCTTTCTTGAGGGAAGAAGTGCTCCAGGAGTATACATGCCATCAGGGTTCTGAATAATTTATTGCATAGTTAAGTTTTGAGACTTGTACAATGATTGTCTTAAAGGGGAAGGAACAAGGTAATTATCTATTGCTACAAATGTGTGAGGTATGATGATTCTTATATTAGATATTTATTTGGGGGTCATAGAAGTGGCTCAGTTGGTAGAGTTGCTTGCCAGCAAGCCGGCTGACCTGAGTTCGATCCCCAGGACTCAATAGAGAGAATTGACACCTTCAAGTTGTTCTATGACACACATACACAGAAACAAATGTAATAAAGTATTTTAAATTAAGGGTTTTTTTATGTAACTACTCTTGAGTAGCTACATATTCCACATCTAGGGAAGCTGTAACCTTCAAGGCAGTCAATTTTGTGTCTTGTTTTTAGATGGAGGCAGAAACTGAATGATCCTAATTTTGCCATGTGGTCATTACTAGGTTTATTATTTAGGTTTTGTGGAAGACATAATCTGGTTTCTTTGTGACTCTTGTTTTTAGGGGAATCAAAGTAGACTCCTCATATTCTGATAATCTCAATTTTTCCCTAACTTAAAGCCCTGTTGAGGGGCTCTACTCCCAGTTCCTGGGTCAAAGTGAATTCACACCTAAGTTGGAGCACTGGAATCTGTTATTTGCAAACAATGCTATCATTTAGAAAGATGTGCACTACCTACGTTCTGTCTGTTAAAAAAAGAAAGAAAGAAAAGAAAACTATCCACCATATAAAGTCGCCTTGACAAAACAGTTCTGGTCTGATCAGTCATTCTTTAATATATATGCAAAGTGGATCCTGGCTGAGCCAACATTTCACTGTGGATATGTATCTGTATTTACGTGCTATTAGACAGAAGGCACCATACATATGAGTATTGCTCTCAAGCAATATTTACAAAACATATAAACTTCTGTATCTGGAAATATAAAAACAGGTTCTTATTGCAAAAAAAGAAAAGAAGCAGAATGAAGTTACAAAAAGACATACATCATTGTCACTAGACAATTGTTACTTAGTCTAATGCTTAGATTAATAGAATTTCTATCAGTTATAGGACTCAAATAGGCAGACATATTAAGTTATGAGCTGATTCAGAGTGGGAAGATTTAAATAGTATTTGTTCCATATTCAAATTCAAGTAATTGGAAAAAAGTTTCAGAGACTTAAATCCTAAAGTGTTCACTGAAAAATATAAACATATGTATTCATAACTAGATAGTATTTTCATCTAGAAATCTGTCTAATTGTGATTTTGTTTATTATTTATAAAAGCAATAGTGTCTATCTCTAGAATGCAAAAGAAAACATGACTTATCATAAGCTGGGAACATTGGGGAGCAGAAAAGCGACATATCACAAACGAGTCTGTAGACTTTTATTTGATATTTTTAGTCTGATCTTGAAGTATTTTTTAAAACATTTTATTGATTCTTTAGAAATTTCACATCATGCATCACAATCCTTCTCCCCATAATTTTGTCTCTACCGTCTGCCATTGCAACTCTTCCTTGAAAAAATTAAAAAGAAAAAACATTTTAAAGTTTTTAGTGGAAGCATCAGTGTGTTATAGTGTCTACAGTATAGTCTTATGTCCATATATCTTTCCTTGCAAATGTTCATTGTATTGGGTCCTTAGTCTGATTTGAGGCCTCTGACCTCTGTTATACTCTCAATACTAGATCCTCACTAGATCTTCACTCAGATATTCTGTTGTTAACCTGTATCATAGAGATCCTGGAGCTTTGGATAAGTATGACTAGTCCCTTCATGCACACCAGCAATTTTGAAATGGAGTACATATTGGGGTGGGCCAACACTCTGGCAGTTTTCTTGCAACCACAGGACCAGTGTGAGTTCTGAAGCTTGTGAGGGATGAGATCAGCTCTCTGTCTCTCACAAACTTGGTGCCAGCTCTTCTACCTGCTAATGGTGAGAATAGGTAAAAGGAAAAGAATAAATCTCTTTATGGCCAAGCTATCTCATACAAGATGAGGGACAGGGACAGTTCTCCCTTGACCATGCCCTCAGGATGGATTTCCTTGTCCCTGTCATCAGAGCCAGCTCTATAATGCTTCCAGGAGCATGTGTAACCATTAGACATAAGTAGTCAGGTGTGGCTTTCCATAACTAGATGTCTACATGGGTTTTACTGATAATAAAGGTCATGAACATTGACATAGGCCCTTTAATGCTACATGGCCACAGACCCAAACATGACCCTCAGAGCCAGCACAGGACAAGATATTTGCAAGGCCTCAGGTGCCAGGGCAGGATACTTGCAACAGGCTGTTCCTCTCCATGCTCAAATCTCCAGTTCTACCTTTACACATAGGACTAAAACTGATCTAATTCTCTTTTTCTCCCACATTCTACCATTCCTTTGCACATTGTAGTAGCTACCTCAGGGTGCAGGGCATCAGGCAGGCCGACCTCTGGGATTTTCTGCCTGCTAGTGGTGGACAGCAGAGGATAGGCTTTTATAGACTGTTGTTTTTAAAACAGAGTCTTACTATATAACACTAACTAACCTGGAACTCACAGAGATCCACTTGTTTTTGCATCATGAGTTTTTGAGACTAAATGTGTGCACTGCCACACTGGTGTTTTAATATTTCTTATTTTTAATATTAATTTTATGTACATGTGTGTTTTGTGTATATGTGTGTGTATGACTAAAGCAGTACTTGCATGTCTTGTACCCTGCAGAGTCTAGAAGAATATATTTTCTTCCCTAGAATTGAAGGTGTGCTGTGAAGGTGATTGTGAACTACTATGTAGTCCTTGGAGTTTATATCAGGTCATCTGGAAGATCATTCAGGGTTCTTAACTACTGATTTGCCATCTAGTCCCTTGGAGAGGTTTTAAATAAGTAATGTTCTCCAATAAAAATAATTTTGTTGCTGCTTGCTGATCCTCACACCATTTTTTCTACATTACTTCACTACCTCTAACCTCCTTTTACCTCTCTGTCGCATTCTTCTGAAAGTCATCTTCAGTTCTTTAAGAAACAACTGGCCACTTGCCTTCTTTTGAGAAAAGTCTGTCCCTTCATGTTGATTGCCCATTTTAAAAATAAATTTATGTTTTTTTTTGCTGTTGGCTTGTTTGTAGTTTGTGT